TTTATCTAATAGATTTAATGCATATGCTAGATGATTGCATAATGTTCGCATCCTGAAGTTTGCGAAATTACTACTCAAATTTTAAATTATAAACATAATTTTCAAATTATATAATTAAGACGATGTGTCTTGTTAATACTAGTGATCCTAAATCTTAACATTTTAATAGGTATTAGTTGAGATGTCGATAAATAGTTTAACACAATCATTTGTTAAACATTACCAACTAATTTAATTGAGAACAAAGTACTTCTCATTTTTGAAGAGAGAACGCTATTACACATCGTGTCATATCATAATTCTCCCTATTATAATTAGCTAATAGTCAGAGCCCAATTTTTCCATCTAATTATATTGTTAGCGCAGTATATATAAAATTAATCAACCACAATACACCTTTTTTTTTTTTTTATGGAAAAATATGTCATTCCTAAGGGCAAAAAGCCTTAGGAAAGGGTACAATGATGCCTATCAATGAAAATTACATTTTCAATGAAAGAAGGGGCACTGTGCCACCAAAGGATCATATCATCAAGAGACCATGCATGTCGCGCCAAAAAATAGGCTCCTTCAATGCAAGACGAATGAAGAGCCGGAGGCTACAATGAGGGAATCTTCTGAACAACTCCTAAATTTCTACTGACAAAAATGGGATAGANGCCAAAAAATAGGCTGCTTGATTGCAAGACGATTGAAGTGACGGAGGCTACAATGAGGGAATCTTCTGATCAAGTCCTTAATTTCAACTGCCAAAAATGGGATTGATGAGGAGGTTGATTCTGATTTATTGATTTCATCCACAAGGAATAAGTAATCACTCTCCACTGGCAATTGAGATATCCCAAGGTTAAGGCAAAGTTGTAGACCTCTCACAAGTGTCGCAGCTTCAATATGTTCAGGTTCCAATAGGGAATTATCAGGACTATTTGCCACCAAAATAATTTCCCCTTCGTGGTCACGTAAGATAATTCCAAGTCCAGCTTTATTGAGATCAAAGAATAATGCGCCATCAACATTTAGCTTAACGGCATTCTGAGGTGGTGCTGACCACCTGTATTTGCGGGAGAGCACCCCAGAAGAATAGCGAAATGATGGTCAGATTCAGCAGTCAATTTGTTGGTGAGGGCAGTAGCAATTACCTGTGGGAGTGGGAGATTCACCTGATCATGAATCATCTTGTTACGGCGGAACCAGAAGCCCCAAGTAATAAGCAGAAATTTTAAGAGAGCCTCTTTTGAACCATTAGTCA